AAGAAGTAGATTCCTAGAGGAGTCACAGAGTAGAAGTTCATGAAGGACATTTGTAGATGTCACAGCATACCTGTATTGTACGAGAGCTGGTAACAGTACGTACCCTGGTACTTGTTTTGCACCTGGTGTAGTATGATTACTTTTCATTATTTAAAGGTGTTTCATTATTTAAAGGTGTTAAAAGCTTTGAATTTACAGTATTATCCTATGATTCTCTTAGGTGGTTGAGATCCACTTGAAACATTTATATTCGCATTATGGCATGGTGAACTGAATAAATTGAATTGTACGTATGTATAGAGAAGGAACATGTATTACTACTCATTGTCCTTCACCAAAATATTTGGTTTCTTTATACTGAAGAACACGTTATGAGATGCACCCTAAAGCTCAGTCTTCACAACTGTAGGATGTCAAGAGAAGAAGAATATAGAGGTTAGTTTGGAGACAATACTCAACTGAGGAAGTCATAAATGAAGGGAAATTACTACGATAGTAACAATCCGTACTTGTTCTAATAATCACACTACTCGTATTGTACTTGACATCTGTAGTTGAGCCATGATGGTTTGGCCATTCTTATACTGGAGAACACTTATGAGATGTCTTCTTAAAGGTCTACATAGCTGTAGGGATGTGAAGAGAAGAAGTACGATAGACAGATACTTGATAACCGATAATGTTCAACCAAGACCATCATAAAAGTAGGAAAAGTACTAGTAACTGTACTGTACATTACGTATTGTACTTACAATTGTACAGGGTACCTCGACATAGTCATTGTTAAAGAGCTACTAGTCCCAGAAAAGACATTCCCAACAAGCTAAGGAGGTGATTCCAGGTACAACTGCAATTGTACAATCTTTTTATTCAACCCAATTACTGTTCCAAGTACTTTTAAAACATCCACTGTATGTCCGACAACACAACCAGCTCCAACTTCTTCAAAAAAACTCATACACCTACGAGAACTTGACAGACGTACTCTCCTGATACAGAGGATTCTAATGATACCGCTTATACTTCTACTACCATGTCCCTACCCCTTTTACCAACGATACTCTCAATATGCTCCGCACCCAGAACTTCCCCTAACTCAATCGATAATACATATATCGCTATAGCAACTTGTTCATTGTATATTTACGAGATGGAGTATTCGTATGATACCATCAACGTCCTCTCTGGTCCTTCTTACCCTCTTTTGGTACCCATCATCTTGTTCCTACATCAGCATACAACTTGATCCAACTCCTCCAAAAAAACTGTCATAGCCGTGGCGACTTGACCAATGTGTTCCTTAGGCTCAGATGATTTTTTTGGTACCATTAATACTCCTTCTATCACTCTCAATCTCGTTTTACTGCTTGCAACCTCAATTCTACTTAGTCACACAACGGTCCCCAACTCACATAGAAGTGCACACAATACCATAGCGAGTTCACAGGGTTTTAGATACGCTCTTGTAGGTCCTTCTGGTACCCTTAACTCCATCCTACTATCTCTATTCCGCTTTTTAGTCCGAAAATTTCTATTTCCACTAAAACAGAATCGGCCCTATCTCCACCAGAAATACCAGTATCACTGTACCGACTTAATCAACGTATTATCTGAATTCAGGTGAATCCAACGGTACTATCCACGTCTCCTACAACCTCCTGACAGCCATTTTTTTCTAAGACCACCCAATACTGTCCATCCATAATGCTTAACTGCCATTAACTCCTTTAAAAGTATTCCTACGACTAAGGGGGCTAATGAATCAACAAATCAGGAACGTTCAGAGATACCTCTGGTACCACTTTTACTCCTTCTATGATCATCCTCTCAATTCTGCATGCCCTTAACTTCAGTTATCATTCACCTTATTATACTGTAGCTATCAGTAAGGTAATTTTATATAAATACTGTAAATACCAGATCTAGATCCTAATAATGTAGCCATAAAAACACAACAAAAAACAATACTAACAATCCATCATTTATTCCAACTCTCCATCTCCACCTCGTTTTTTTGCTGACTAAGAAACTCTATGGAACACGTCGACACCTGCATGTGCTATGTGACAGCATTACGACATTCTCACCACACAACATGTCTACAATTGAGAGTGAGTAAGACCTTCAAAAACAGCCGTTTTTCCTTCTTCTTCTAACACAGACATTCTTGACGCGCGATTGGCGTTTTTCACCGGCGATACCAAGTCTCTTTTGGCTGCTAACACCGCCGAGATCAAAGACGAACACAAAGACGCCGTGGCTTTTCTCAAGTACCGAGCTGAGATTGCTGGAGGTCTGACGCCTGCCAACTTTGATGACGTGTCTTCTCCTGCCACCAAGGAGGCACTAACTGCCTACCGCAAGTTTGTGACTTCTGGACACAAAGACGCTGCTATTTTGGCAGGTCTGGCTTCTTCAAACACAGACAACGAGGCTGTTCAGCTGTTTGGAGCCACCGGTCTTTATCTTGAGGGTAAGCTGGACGAGGCTCTTTCTCTGCTGGAGAAGCACGAGGGCTCTTTTGAGGCTGTTTTGCTGATTGCTCGAATTCTCGTGGACCAGAACAAGATCGATGCTGCTCAGAAACTCATCCACGACTACGCTCGAACCTCGGACGATGACGTGGCCTACTTGCTTGCCTCTGCTATCGTTGCCATGCGGGCCAACGGAGACGACAACGTCCGATCTGCTTACTACATCTTTGAGGATCTCTCACAGCACAAGACCGGCAACATGTTGTTGGGCCAGGCGCTGACTGAGATTCAGCTGGGTCGAATTGACGAGGCCAAGGAGACGCTGACTAAGGTCGACGAGGTGGTTCCCCAAGACCCTAACGCCCTCGTGGCCAAGATTGTCGTGGGTCTTTCTGACGGCGACGACGTGACGGAGCTCAAGGACGAGCTGAAAAAGGTGGACGCCAAGCACCCCATTTTCGAGGATCTGGCCGAGAAAAACGCTCTTTTCGACAAGGTGGTTCTCAAGTACGCCGACAAGATTGTCGCGTAGAGAGTATATATTATAAGGATGATGGTATGAGATGTGGTGTACGGTACTGAAAGGGAGAATAGATCGTAGAAGGACAAATTCAGAATATACAAGCATAGTTGTACAATAGTTTCATGCTTGGTATTGATTTGAGAGATTCTGCATTCTCAGGAGAAGAATCGAAAGTCAACAGATAGTCTGAGTACACGAAAGTCTGTAGATATCTTTCAAATGCCCTATATTGTAGACGAATAAGTAAGTAGAAATCTAATGGGACGATATCTGACGTTCTTGTACCTCTCCCATATCTCCAACTTATGCATCACTCTACGGCTTATTAGGTATATAGCTCTATGTATCTTCACAGGTAGAATTGGTAGAGTCAATGATTAATGGGGAAAAGAGGTGATAGACGTAAACTAAATGGTACCAAAAGAACCGGATAGACACAGAGATTACTCCTTTCAAGTTATTGCAACGATAAAAACATTTCTGATGAAATTCGAGACAATGTTGTTACCTAGGATGATTAGGGGGCAGTTGAAATAAATATCGGACGAGCGGTGATAAGGAGACTTGAACTTCACCATTGCAATACTCCAGCTCTGAGGAACTAGATATTCAACTTCCTGTTGCGATGAAGGCATTTTTGGCGATGTTGCGGACATTTCTGTAATGATAACGATGAGAGGGTGTCAGAGTAAAAACTAGACAGGAAGTTGTTGGAGAGAAATGGGTGATATATATATAATCTCTACACTGATGGCAATGTAATAATTCGCTTGTCATGATGATAAGCATATTTATGGGGGAAATCTTCGTGTACAATACTCTATGGCTATATGCGATGTTGGGAATAAAACAAGGTACAAAGGATAGGGGAAGATACTGGCGGTCTTTTCAGAATACTCTGGGATAGAGGAACACGACGGTCAAGTCCTTATAGCGATGCGAGTATTTCTGAGGGAGATAGATCCAATCGTGTGAGATAGAGGAATTACTGAAGTCGCCGTTAAAACTCTGAGAGAAAGAGTAGGAATGGTTTGAATGGTATCAATGGAATTGTCTGAGCCTGAGGAACCTCTTGATTAAGTCTCTATGGTTCAATGAATAGTTCTGGTGGAGTTGGGGTCAGTTCTATAGGATGAGCGAAATGAGTGGTTCCAGATTAAAGGTGGTAATATGATAGTAATAGTGGAATAATTGGAACCATCTGAATGCCTGCAAACTGGAGAATGGGCTGGTCAAGTCGATATAACAATATGGCTATTACTGAGAAAGTTAGAGGCTGCTATGAGGTGTCAACAAATTGAGAGTATTGGTGTTAAAACGAAAGGAGATGGAGGAGGCAATACAGAAAGAACAGTAATGATGGATACAACAGACATAAATGACGGGACCAGTTTCAAGTCTCTGATAAGTTACACATATGTAGACCAAGAAGGAGCCATATAGAGTCCGTTGGGGGCATGTCGGTACAAGTAAAAGTACTTGGTCAAGAGTCCAAAAAACAATTATAAAGATAGAGATAGGGATACAATACCTACCAAGGTCCGGACAAGACTTATCTCTTTCTTGTCTCGTTCGAATATGTTGTTTTGCTCGCTGGTGTTGAGTGCTAAAAACTTGAGCATCAAAGTAGAACGATAAATACACGCGCTGTGAGATCAGATTTAGATCAAGGAGTATGAAGACTTACCGATATTGTTATATAGTACCTCAAGATTACCGTCTCTCAATTTTGTGCTTTCAATACAACTGCTTAGAGATATATCCACCCTTAACCTCAACCCCCTTTTTTCACTGTTTCGATGTAAAATTAAAACGTCGATATCTGACGATATTCATTATAAACACACTTCAAACTCTGCTCAGACTATTAATTAATCCCTTTTCTACTATGTGTGCAAAAATAATGTGCTCATGGATAATATTGGACGAGAAATCGCCAATAAAATTTTTGAACATCAAAATTCGGGATATATTAAAAGTTCACTTAAAATTTTCGTCTTCCAGGGTCATTAGTATAGTGGTAGTATGCCTGCTTCGGGCGACTGAAGCATCCTGTGATTGCAGCACAATCATAACTTGCAGGTGACCCCGGTTCAAACCCGGGATGACCCCATTTTTTATTTTTTTCTTTTCAAACCTAAGAAGTGATAAATACAACCACAAATACTCTACATGGAATATATACTGTCACTTGGTTGTATTTATCCTTTTTATATGTGCAGATGTTGTCTATAGTTTTCCTTGGCTATCTACGGATTCTAGTCCATTGGATGAGATGATGGGAGTTTCCAAGCATGTTAGTTAGCTCTTGAAGACTGACATCCACTCGAGCCATACGAATCTCGTCGTCCAGCGAAGTATCTGAGGCCAGCTGTTTGGCCACTCGCTTGGCACTTTTTTCTACTGGTAGCAGTAGGTTGAGAGACTCGAGTTTCTCCCATGCAGCTCGAGCCACTCCTCGGCTCCATATTCGGAACCCGGCAACTGTACCAGTAGCCATTCCTTCCAGATCCACGGCTCGAAGAGCTTCTCTTTGTTCCTTGGCGGTCTTTAGATACTCTTCGTACGCCAGATTGAAGTTGACCTGGTCCACCTCGAACATGACTTCCACCTTTGCCGCACTGATGATAAGCGACAGCTCCAGGTCAGAGAGGCCTTCAATAAACGACTCTGTGTCAGCCACACCTCTTTCAAACACGTCAGTGGCAAAGTCATTCGGGTCAATCCAAGGATCTGCTTGTGATACAGCCAAAATAGCAGAAGTGAAGAACTCCCGACACGATTTAGTTGTATGAAACAACCGCTCAACATGGTCTCGTAGAGGTCCAGCCTGAAACATGGCTTCCCAATGCCAGTTCCAGTACTTGACTGTATCCAGGTCCTCCTGAGTATGCAATTTTGTGTCCTCGCCATCTTCCTTCTTGACCATGTTGAGCAGCTTCTCAGGGTAAATGACAGCGTTTCTGAGAATAGCCCAAAAGTCGTTCATTCCGTGCTGTCTCTTGACTTGAACCACACGTTGCGAAAAACGACTTCGTACTCGCTTTTCCAGCAACTCTCGTGCGTTGATTCGAGGAGTTAGACCAATCACAGCAATAGGAGCTCGTGACGACTGAGCGACATCGAAAAGAGTGTACAGTAGTGTTTGTTTTGTGGTCGAACAGAACCGATCAAACTCATCCAAAATGAAAACCAAAGACACGGTTTCTTTTTCGCTGTCGTCAATATCGGCACGGTCAAAAAGAGACAGAATCTGATTCAGAGTCTCGGATATACTCTTGTTCTCAATCAACTGTCCCTGATTCGGCAGAAAGGTGTCTAGTTGACGTGCGATTTCTCGAACAGCCATTTTATCGTCTGTCTGCGCGTATCCCGAGAGACGGATTGTGATGAAGTTGTTCTGCGATCCAGCACCGTTATATTTCTCTTCCAGTTCTGCTAGAGCAGACTCCACAATCAGCGACTTTCCAGTTCCTCGAGGACCCACAATAATGCACGAGTTTCCCTCTCCAAACCGAATCGCGTTCTCCATCAGACTGTACACTCGGGCTCTTTCTCCATCGAGGAATATCGGCTCAGGAATACTTTTTCCTGTCAAGATAGACAACGTCCTAGATTTGATGGTATCAATCATACTTTCACTGACGGTACCAGGTTCGGGAGCTTGCGGAGGAGGAAGTACAGGGGCTGCAGGCACCATAACTTCCTCGACAATCTCCACCTCCATTTCGTCGCCGGTTGGGGTGATTTCAGCCCCGATTTCAGGGAATTCAGACTCCATTGTAGTGTGTCGAGGTGTGTAAAAAGTGGTACAGTGTGTCGAGGTGTTGTATGATCAGCAGTTTTGTGTCGAGATGTTGTATTATCACCAGTTTGTCAATTGGATGATACCGAGTATGTAATAGTTTGCAGCTCGTCTGACTGCCAGTGTTGTTGTCTGTTTGAATGTTGTTTAGTTGTAATGATCCATCACGATATTTCTCTGGTGTCGTGCATCTCCAAACTTTAACCTGACTGTATGAAGTAGGAGAGAGAGTAACCGTGTCAATGATGCTAGGGAAGAGAAATGAGTATCATTGAGTGTCTGAATTCCAATACGAAGGCTCTGAAAATACTCATATGTAGTTTCAGATGTTTCAGATTCACTCATAATGTGTAGACAGTACTCAGTGAATCAGAGTGGCAAATATGTGTACTGCATTCTAAGAAACTAAATAGTAGCCAGTTCAATTTGTGAAAACTGTTTCCGTCAATAAATACTCATCGTGACTATTTCCACGTACTCCCCCTTTAGTTATCTGATCACATCTTACCGCCCACCGCCTGCTCTATTATAAGACATACAGTAACCTTATATCACTAAATATCGTATCATGCGTCTCCCCACATCTCTAGCAGCACATTCACACTCACATCACAACCACATACAACATGGCCACTCTCTCCAAAGAAGTCGAGCAGCTGCTCACCAACGCCGGATTCGTCCATCTCGGCACCTGTCACAACAACCAGCCCAATGTCACGCTCATGAACTACACGTACATTGCCGACGAACAGGCCATTGTGTTGACCACCCGAAAGTCTTCCACCACATACGTCAACCTCTCGCAAAACCCATTAGTGTCCGTGCTGGTCCACGACTGGGTCACGGCTCGATCGCGGGTCGTGGGAGGCCAGGAGCCCTCTTTGTTGGAGCTGCTTCAGAACATTAACCAGAACGAGATCAGCTCCATGAGTGTGACTCTCAATGGCTCAGCCAAACTGGTGGAGGACCTGGACGAGGCCAAAAAGTATCTCGCCAAGCACGAGAAGGCCAACCCCGACGCCAAGCAGTTCATTGAGAACCAGGAGATTGCCCTGGTGCTGGTTAAATTCAGCGAGGTCAAGGTTACCGAGGTTGACGTTTAGCCACACGAATGTAACTGGCAAGAAGGGCTTTAACAGCGATTTCACTATCGTAGGGCAAGAAGAGATACGTTAACGATTTTATCCACACATTGTTTGAAAGCATAGAACTCCAATTGTAGTATCATGTTGTAGTGTGATTGTAGAATGGAGTCGATTCGTATTCCAAGGTGCAATTGCATCTACAGAAGTTGCAGACGAGAATATAAATACTGGTAGGAACATGGAAAGAATGCCTACAGGCAATTCTTACTCGTACTTCTTCTCCTTACCATTTACAATAAATATATTAGTGTACGTACATGTTTCCAGATCACCACTCAGGTGCCTCCTGCTGCCCATTATCATCCCATTGAGACAGATCTTGTCTTCTTTCCGAAGTGGTCACTCGATCTCCATATCGCAACGAAGAATCTAGCTGTGAAGAAGGTACAGCCAAAAGAGACTCGTCTTCATGTCCATAAGTAGGTTCATCGTCCTCATCGTCCTCCGGGTTGTCGCTTTCGGAGTAAATGATAGGTTCCTCTTTCTTTCCAGCCTTTCGGATCTTGATCATTTCTTCCATTCCCTCCACCACAAACGGTCTCATTTCGTTGATTTCCAACGCTCCCAGACGGTCCATTTGCAGCATGTTTTCGTTGACCTCTTTCATACCCTGTCTACTTTTCTGTTCGCGCACTTCTCGGATATCTCTTACGAGGTTTCGGATCACCTGTGGCGGCGAAGTGAGATCATCTGGAGCTGTAGTGAGCACGATTTGTGCGATTTCCAGCCAGTGAAAATCGACATTGGAAAAAGCGGTAGGATTGGCATGTTCAAACGCCAAGATTCTGCGCAGATTTCCCTCCTCCATCCAGTCCGGAGGGATCAGCTGACAGCGCTGCTGTTTCTTGAGCGTGATAGCCATCCAGATGGGGATTCTGTGCTTTCGAAGAGGATGCATGAGAGGCAGATCTGTGCCTGCCAGTTTGATGGGGTCTCCTACCCGTCTTGGCAGAATTTCAATCGTCTCATTCTCCGCGAGAAAATGCAGCTCCGAGGGAAGGAACGTTTCCAGTTGTTCGGCTGGCACCGACATTTTTTTCTTTTCGTTTTTTCGAGGTTGGCGTGTTTGGCGACGGTTAATCACTTACGCGTACAGGTTGAAATTATCCTGCATAAATGATGCACGGTCGAGGTGGGACTGTGAGTTCGATCCTAGGTGTAGGAGGAAACGGAAAACGGAAAACGGAAAACGGAAAAGCAAACTTGAGTGTTTCTAACCAGTGGAAAGACGAAATTCATGATATATCCACCAGTAGTGGTTTCTCCTTCCTAGTTTAGAAACACACGTTAGGGAGAGAGCTCTGAGTATAGAAGCTCAAGGCAGTGAGTGAAGCAGAGGTACAGTACTGTACTGTACTGTAGCTGAATAACGGCATATAGACATGAACAGTTCGAGTCATGTCGCACTCAAGTGTAACAGAGCGAGCTACGGTTGAAACAGTAGTTTAATAGGTTCTCATGACCGGAGCCTGAACGTACCAATACGACTCGTATGACTTAGGAAAGTTCAGACCGGAGTTAAGACTGGAGTGTTCAATATTATGACACTGTTGGGAGGCTGGTTTGACGTTGACGTCATCCCAAATCATACCACGAATACAGGCCAATGACGTCAGTCTTCATCACACAATTCAGGCCATTTATTGACACTTTTGACCTAGTTACAACGGTGTACTACTGGTACGAGTACTCGTACCGTATCTTCCTGATATAGCACTTGGCATTATCTCTTAGCGTGCATGGATTCTGTCATTCAACCAAGCCAAGCAAGACATCAACAACTACTCGTACGTACCTGTACTGCAAACGGTTATGGATTATCCGACGCGAGACATGCAAACGAGACATAAAACGAGACATGAACGTGGCGAGAGTTGCCACTGAACGAGATGAAGAAGCAAGGCAAGTATCTAGTCTTTGAATCGTTATATAACTTCGGAACACAATTCTAAGCTACTTACTGTAGTGTACATCTTAGCCTCCATACACCCATCTCACCTTCCAAATACCTCTTAGATACACCCTACCACCAGTAATGGCATGACGTAACATCTTTTTACTTCGTTTTCACTTTCGTTTCACTTTCTTTTCTCGCTTTGCAACTTAGCAATACAAGTGTCTCACTGCAAGGTGGGATGCTTTTAATTTCAGGGGCATGTGAA